GGTTCTTTTGAAAAGGTCAATAAAATTGATCAATCCCTGGCCAGGGAACTAAACTAAAGGGAAAAAAAAAAAGGAAACACAAATTACTAATATTAGAACTGAAAGAGAAGTCATCATTAGTAATCCCATAGACATTAAAAGCATAATAAATGAATTATGAATAACACTGTGTTCACAAATTTGATAATTTAGATGAAATGGGCCAATTTTTTGAAAGATTGGACCCCCCCCCCGCCCACAACCAGGCACACTACTAGTGCCTTGGGTTCCTGCCTGGGGGCCTGGGGCAAGAAGCCAGGGACTGGACACCCCCCACACCCACAACCAGGCACACTGCCAGTGTGTCAAGGCCCCACCTGGGGAACCAGGACATCAAGCTGGGCACCAGACCCCCCACCTACAACCAGGCACACCACCAGCACCAAGGAGCATGCCAAAAACATCTCACCTCCATGTGGGTGGCCCAACACAGTAACCACAGCTGCCCTGAAAGTGGCTAGACATCACAACCACCACGCAGATGGTCCACAAGCTACTGGAGTGCATTGACACAAGGAGAGTCACCAGCAGAGACCAAAGAAAAGAAGTCTCTCTGCACAAAGAACATTCCAGAGTGACAGAAGAAGCATTTGCTCTATGGTAATATTGGGGGACCTGAACACACCTTTCAGCATTGGACAGATCATCTAGGCAACAAATCAACAGAGTAACCGTTATTCTTTCAGAAGGAGAGAAGAAATCTAGGGTTATCAGAGGTGGGAGGGAAGATAGGGAAAGATTGGACGAGGGGCATAAAGAATTAGTACAATTTGCAACAATATACATACTAGTAACATTGATTTGATCAACATATGTCAACATTGAGTCCCAAAAATATGTATAACCAATTATAATTCAATAAAAAAGGATAATAAATGAATTATGAATAACACTGTGTTCACAAATTTGATAATTTAGATGAAATGGACCAATTATTTGAAAGAATTATTCTAGCAAAACTCACATAAAGAGAAGTTGTTCATCTGAATAGGCCTATATTGATTAAAGAAATAGCATAAGAATTAATAACCTTCCAAAACAGAGAGCACTGATGATCTCACCAGTAAATCCTACCAGACACTTAAAGAACAAATGATACCAATACCCAACAATCTGTTCCAGAAAATAAAAACACCAAAACATTTTCAAACTCATTATATGAGGCCAGCATTTCCCTAATACCAAACCAGACAAACACATTACAAGAAAACTACTGACCAATACTATTCATGAACATAAATGTAAAAATCCTCACCAAAATATTAGCAAAATGAAAGCAACAATATATAAAGAGAATTATACATCACAACCAACTGGGATTCATTTTGGGTATGTGAGGCTGGTTTAATATTAGAAAATCAATTAATGAAAATCAAGAAGAAAAATTTAAAACATAATAATAAAAAGAAAATCAGTTAATGTAATCCATCACCTCAACAATCTAAAGAGGAAAATATGATGCTATAAAAAAGATGCAGAAAGGGCTCTGTGGCTCACTCGGGAGAGTGCAGCACTGGTAGCGCTGAGGCGGCGGGTTTGGATCCTATGTAGGGATGGCCTGTGCGCTAACTGGCTGAGCGTGGTGTGGACAACACCGTGCTGAGGGTTGCGATCCCCTTACTGGTCAGGAAAAAAAATAATAATAAGATGCAGAAAAATCATTTGGCAAAATTCAACGCTGTTTATGATAAAAATCCTCAGCAAACTTGGAATAGAGGAGAACTTCCTCAGCTTTATGAAGAACACATATTTTTAAAAATCTTATAGCCAATGTTATAATTAATGGTGAGAAACTAGATACTTTTCCCCTAAGAATAAGGGAACAAGGAAAGGATGTCTGTTTTTCTTTAACTCCTATTCAGCATTGTACTGGAAGTCCTAGCTAGTTACAGTAAGACGATAAAAGGAAATAAAAGTATACAAATTAGGAAGGAAAAATAAAATTCTTTGTTTGCAGATGATATGATGATCTATGTAAAATACAAAAAATTCCAAGAAATTGATTTCAAAAACAAAACAACTCCTGGAACTAATAAGCAATTATAACAAGATTGCACCATACTGGAATACAAGTTAATAATATAAAAGTCAATTGGGGGCCGGCCCGGTGGCGCACTGGATAGTGCGCCGCTTGGGAAGCGTGGCGGCGCTCCCGCCCGAGGGTTCGGATCCCACATACAGACCGGTTCCCGCTCACTGGCTGAGCGAGGCGCGGGAGCAACGCCGAGGTTTGCAATCCCGTTGCCGGTCCCCGGTCCGGTACGGGGGCAACACTGAGGGTTGCGATCCGTTGCTGGACACGGAAAAAAGACAAAAGACAAAAAAAAAAAAAAAAAAGTCAATTGCTTTTTTATATACCAGCAATGAGTAATTGCAATTTTAAATGAAAAATACAAAACCATTTACACTAGCACCAAAAAAGAAAGAAGGAAGGAAGGAAGGAAAGAAAGAAATAGACATAAATTTAACAAAATTTGTAGAAGATCTGTGTGAGGAAAACTGCAAAACTCTGATCAAAGAAATCAAAGGTCTAAATAAATGGAAATATATTTCATGTTCATGGATAGGAAGACTCAGTATAGTTAGGATGTCAGTTCTTCACAACTTGATCTATCAATTCAATTCTAGTCAAAATCCCAGCAAGTTACTTTGTAGATATTAACAAACAGATTCTAAAGTTCATAAGAAAATGCAAAAGACCCATAATAGCCAACACAATATCGAAGAACAAAGCTGGAGGATTAACACTACCTGACTTCAAGACTTAATGTAGAGCTGGCCGGTTAGCTCAGTTGGTGAGAGCGTAGCTTATAACACCAAAGTCACAGGTTTGGATCCCAGATCCCAGTACCAGACACACACACACACACACACACACACACACACACACACACACAAAGACTTCATCTAAAGCGTCAGTAGTCAAGACAGTGTGGTAAAAGAATGGACAATTAGATCATTAGAGCAGAATGACAAGTCCAGAAATAGAACACAGATATTGTCTGTGCTCTACATAGTATACACAATGTATAGCTGCAAATGGACTTTGACTAGGAGCAAAGGCAGTTCAATGGATAGATTCTTCAATAGGTGATGCTGGAACAAATGGATATCCACATGTAGAAAAAATGAATCTAGATGCAGGTCTTGTACCTCTCTCTCTCTCTCTCTCTCTCTCTCTCACACACACACACACACACACACACACACACACACACACACACACACCTCAAAGTGGATCATAGATCTAAATGTGAAATGCAAAACTATAAAACTCGTAGAAGATAAACATAGGAGAAAATCTATGTAACCTTAAGTTTGGTCATGAGTTTTTAGATACAACATCAAAAGCACAATCCATGAATGAAAAAATTGATAAGTTGCACTTATTAACATTAAAAACCTTTGTCCTGCAAAAGACACTGTTAAGAGATTGACAAGACAGGCCATAGACTGGGAGAAAATATTTGCAAAACATATATATGATAAAAGGCTTGTATCCAAAATATAGAAAGAACACCTAAAAAAACAACCCAGTGGAAGTGGGCAAAAGATGTAAACAGACACCACACCAAAAAAGATATAGAAATGGCATAGAAGCATATGAAAATATGTCCATCATCATGTCTTCACGGAAGTGCAAATTAAAACAAAAATGACATGCCACTACACACCTGTTGGGATGGCTAAAATCCAAAACTATGACAATACCAAATGCTAGCAAAGATGTAGAGCAACAGGAACTCTCACTTATTGCTGGTGGAAATACAAAATGATACATCCATTTTGGAAGACAGTTTGGCATTTTTTACAAAGCTAAACATACTCTTACCTTACAATTCGGTAATCTCTTTCCTTGCTGTTTACCAAAATGAGTGGAAAATTTATGTTCTTGTAAAAACTTGCACATGAGTGTTTACAGCAGCTTTACTTATAGTTGCTAAATATTGGAAGCAACCAATATGTCTGGTATGGTCTGATTGTGTGTCCCCAAAATTCATATGTTGAAATCCTAACCACCAAATTGATGGTATTAGAAGGTGGAACCTTTGGGAGGTGTTTAGGTCATAAGAGCACAGTCCTCATGATTGTGATTAGCACCCTTACAAAAGAGACCCGAGAGAGCCAGATGGTCCCTTCTACGATCTGACGACACAGCTAGTGAGCACTATCAATTTACCAGAAAGTACATCAATTCTGCCAGGGCCTTGGTCTTGGGCACTCCAGCCTCCAGAAGTGTGAGAAATAAATTTCTGTTGTTTGTAAACTATCAGTTTATAGTATTTTCTTATAGCAGCCTGAACAGACTAATACAATGTCCTCCAATGAGTAAATGGAAAAACAAACTTGGTACACCTGTACAATGGATATTATTAAGCAATAAAAAGAAATGAGTATCAAGTCACAAAAATTCAGAACCCAAAATGAATACTGTTAAATGAAAGAAGCCAGTCTGAAAAGGCTGTATGATTCCAAAGAATTTTATGTTCTGGAAAAGGCAAAACTATAGAGACAGTAAAACAGATCGTACATATGCTTCTAAAACAATGCTAATTTGTTTGCCACATGTTTGACAGGGATATTAAATTAGATATATGACTATCTTACCCAGAAAATAACTTGTGAAAGCCCTTAGCACAATATTTGATGCTTATTAGGTGCTTGATAAATGTTTGCTAAGTGAATGAATGAATTAGGTAATAAAAGAGTGAATGGTTCTCCTTTCTTTCCTTTCCTTTTCCTTTGAATCCAAGCATAGCTCTATGCTATTCATAAAAAACACAGACGTATCAACTAAAGATATAATTTTGATTATACAGAGAGTAAAGTAGTACATTGATCAATGTATTATGCATTATAATATTATATATGTTGTATTATAAATTCTGTATTTAGATGTGTATGTTTATTGAAATACAGTAAGCTTTGATTCTCATATCTTAAATTTTATTTTAATATAGGGGCCACGAGGACTGCAAGGTGAAGCTGGACCTCCTGGAGAAATGGGTGTTGAGGTAATTTTTTTGTGGTTCTTTCTTGTTCGTCAATAGTTAATGCTTTTTATAAGACTCTAACGTAAAGTTAATATATTAGGCGTGTATATTATGAAGAATAATTCTATAGTATTTTGTTTTATACTCAGAAAATGAAGCCTATAAGCAGAAATGATTATTGTATGAACCTGAGTTTATACATATAAAGTTCTCCTCTAACAATTGAATGACAGATCAAAAAGTAGATAAATCTTTCCCTTCACTGATTTAGAATTGACTTTATAGCCCTTAATTCTAAGATGTTATATCTCTTTGATAAAAGAATATTGAGAAGTTACCCTATCTAGGACATATTTTGGAATAATAAACCACATTTGTTATAATTATAAAATCCAATTACTTTATTTCCATTCTTTGTTAACTTTAACACTAAATAGATTAAACAAATTCTCTCCTCCCTTGGCTTCCGTGAAACTGCTCTCTTCGTTCTGCACTTCACCTTCTCCTTAGCCTTTCTCAGTCTTGATATGAAGTTGCTCTTCCAATTCCTTGGCTTGGCAATCATGCTATGACAGTGACTTTAATTAGCAGTGTTATTCTAATAGCTCTCAGCTTGATAGTTCTAATTTATGTCTCTCTTCTCAGCTCCAGTAACTGATTTCCTGTTGTCTTTTTAGATATCCACGTAGATATCCCACAAACATGTCAAATTCAGAGTGTCTAAACCAGGCCTTAGCCAGTTAGCTCACTTGGTAGAGCATGGTGCTGATAACACCAAGGTCAAGGGTTTGGATCCCCATACGTGCCAGCTGCTGGGAAAAAAAAAACAAAAACAAATGCGTAATGGCTAAACCAAACCCATAACTTTCCCACTGTTCTTCCTCTTTTTATTCCCGTCTCAATGAAAGATACCCCTTATTACCCAATAACCCAAAACTGAGTCATCCTAAACTCTTGCTCCTTCCTCATCCTCTCCAATCAGCCACCTTTTCCCTTTGAATAAGGTTTCTTCCCCATTTTCTCTAAAATCTATCCCTCTCTTTTCATCTCTATTGCCAACGCTCTAGTCCTTCAGGTTTATGCCATGTCCCCTCCAGCTCCCATCATTCTATCAGCTATTTGTTGCCAGTTTATCTTTCTCATGTCATTCAACTCCTTGAAATTTTTGAAGTGCCCTCATAGGCTTTAGGCTAAAGGCTTACTGTGCACTGTGTATCTGCTGGGGATACAAAGGTGACTGAGATAAGGTCCCTGACTCCTTTGGGAATTTATTATCTTTTTGCAGAAGATAGTCCTATAAGAGATCATGATATTGCAACGTGTTAGACCAAGCGATGGAGATATTGGCAAGGCAATGTAGGAGCAGAGCAATAGGTACTTAAACCCACCTGGGAAAGGGAAAAATAAGACTTATGTTTATATGTGGGGGGGGGAATAATAAGATTTTTAAGTAAGAGTAGGATTTAGGCATATGAAAAGAGAGAATAAGGATAAGGGAATTCCAGAAAAAAAGGGATAGTCTGAGTTAGAACATGAAATATGAAGCAGTGTGGATTCTTTGATGCTTAAAGTCGAAACAAGGAGTGCTAACAGGTGGAGAGGTTATAGGGAAATGGTTAGAGAATGAAAAGTCTTGCATACTCTTTTAAGAAGCTTGAACTCTTTATTTTATAGCCTATAATAAGTCATTGTAGAGTATAGGCAGGGCAGTGATAAAGTCAGATTTGTACTTCAGGGAAATAATTCTAGCAGCTGCATAAAGCATGTATTTGAGGAGACAACAGTGAACTTTAGTATACCTTTTAAAAAGCTACTGCATTGATCCAGGCAAGAAGTGATGGAGGTCTGAATTAAAGCAGTAGGCATAGAAAAGGAAAGGAAGGGATCAATTTTAGAAATGTTTGTTATATAAATTCTGCAGAACCTGTATATTTGTGGAATTTGGAAAGAGAAGTCAAAGATTATTCCCAGATTTCTAGGTTCTGTGACAAGATGGAGGTAATAACTTTTCCTGAGACCAGGAAAGAAGATGGTTTAGGGAGGTTAAGGTCATAATCTCCTCATCTGCCCAAGGTAAATTGCTAACAAGTAGCAGAGTCTGGGTTCAATGTGACTCAAAAGTTAATGCTCATAACCTATACTGTCCCACATCCTCTGAGCCTAAAGAAAGCTCAGAGAAGTCATACCTCATAGCTTGAATTTTTTTAAGAGATTAGGATGAGAATTCTGTGATGATAAGGAGTAGGGGTTGAGTAGGTGACTTCAGGAAAATGTGATGGTTTAGAATAGTGGTTGGGGATAATAGACAAAGAAAATGCCCTGAGACAAGTAAAAAGCAGGTATACCTCACTAAAAGTCAAACCGAAGTAGGAGACTGTGAATTCGCATTATATTATAATAATTACAATAATACTTAAAAATTATGGAGCACTTGCCATGTGCCTAGCATTGTTTGTGTTTTTTATCATATTAGTGGATTCTCACAACAACTCTGCAAGCTAGGTGCAGTTATTATTGCCATTTTACAGATGAGAAAACTAAGGCATAAAATGGTTAATAACTTACTCAAGAGCAGTAGCTGGTAGTTGTGGTAGAGATTAGATGTAAATTTAGGCTAGCTGCCTCCAGAACCCATGCTCTTAGCCACTGTGCCTCTCAACATGTAATGATACCACTGTTCCCAAGGTCGTACTTTTTTTCTGCCAGTGTTCTTCTGGTAATAGAAATGGCAAAAGGCAATTTAAAGCTCTGATTCAGGATTGGTATAACAAAAGAGGTATCACAGAGATCAGAAGATCAGGTTTTGGATTTAGACTAAGAAAGGCTTAAAAGAGGTCAAGAGGGGCTCACAGATGGGGAGAAAATTAGAAATGAAGGAGGTCTGTGAGATTAAAAGCAGTTTTTATATGGAAGAAGTCCTCAAAGAGTTGGAATTCTCTGTTGAGAGAGTTTTAATCTTAGAGTGAGATATTAAGTTCTACAAATGTCTGATGCAGAGCAGAATCCCAGGCAGTCTTGCTTTAGGGTTCTTTCTCTCACATGTGCATTATATTGCTTTTTATAACAGTGAAGAAGTTAAAAAAAGGTAACCAACAGAAGAATTAAATAATTGGGCCGGCTTGGTGGCGCACTGGAGAGTGCACCACTTGGGAGCGCGGCGGCGCTCCCGCTGAGGGTTTGGATCCCATGTGGAGACTGGTTCCTGCTCACTGGCTGAGCGCGGTGCGGGTGCAACACCGAGGGTTGCGATCCCGTTGCTAGTCCCCGGTACGGGCGCGACACTGAGGGTTGTGATCCTGTTACCGGTCAGTAAAAAAAGACAAAAAAGGAAAAAAATTTTTTAAAAAAAAGAAGAATTAAATAATATAACAACTATTTTAAAAGTTGGAGAAACAGTGGAAAAGGAGAGACAGTATAAGGGAACTAAACTTTTAACAAGGCAATACAGAAGTAGAGGTATACTTAGTGGGTTATAGAAGCAACAACTAGGAAAACTAAAACCAAAAATAATTTCAAAAAGTAATTGCCTCTGAGGACAGGGACCGGGGCTTTTCATTATAAGCCCATCTGTTCTGTTGTGCATGTATAACCTTTATTTTGAAAAAAAAACAAAACAAAACAAAACAAAAAACACAAAGTGAATGTGGACTGCAGAAGCTGAGTCAAATGGAAAACTGAATTTCCATCTAAAATACTATAAAATGATATAAAAGCTATTTTAGTCTCTAATAATAAGGAAGGTTGTCATCCATGGATCAGAAATATTGAGGAATCCCTGAAAGAAAGCAAACAGGAAAGAAAGGAAAGGAGAGAGGGAGGGAGACGGAAGCAAAGGAAAGGGATAGGGGAATTGGGTGAGGAAAGGAAGAGCGGGGAAAAGGACGGGCATGCATAGCATGCTCAAAAGCAAGATAAATATCTCTGGGAGACAAAAACAATACAACAGCAAGTGTAAAGCTCCAAACCTAGAAATAGCCAGAGGTTGCTAGAAGTTGCATGTTTTCAAAGATAAAAGAACCAAAAGCTTCCCAACAAAACTGGACCCACCCATGAAACAATCTCCAGTATATTGTGTGATATTTTTTATAAAACCAATAAGGAAAAATGAATTTTCTACAGAAAGTAGTTTCCAGAGGGCACAACAGAAAGGAATGGGAAGACCAAAAGGTGAAGAAACAGAACAAACAGTGAGAGTATGAGGACAGAAAAGTAGAAGAGAAAGTAGGAAGTAGCTTATCTTTTATTCTTTCACCAAGGTTTAAAGGATGAGAGGAAGGATTGGAAGAAACTGGTGGTTAAAAGTCCTGATTTCAGGTGAAATTGTTTTGGCATTTGAACTGTTAAAGGATCCCAGAAAGTATCTGGTCTTATGTTATAAAGTTTAACGGGGCAGCAAATATCCTCATCTGGAAACAGATATCTTACCCTTGAACTAAAACTTACTTCTATCTTCTTGTGGGATTGTTATTGCCTTTGTAACGTGTCAAATGATTCTCTTGTAGGGACCGCCAGGCATTGAGGGAGAATCTGGTCTGCAAGGAGAGCCAGGTGCAAAGGTAACCTTCCTAAAATGTAAAGGGGAGGGTCTCTGAAATTTTAACATTTAATCCCTTACACCCACCATCTTGAAAGCAGGTAAGGCTAGCAGATAAAAACAGGAGTGTTTTGGAATGCCTATCCCTTATGCTATGCCCTCCATAATTAAACACAGTTTTAGTAGAAAGGAGTTTAGTCTTCCCCTTTGTTTCTTCAGGGAGATATTGGACCTGCAGGCAGTGTTGGAGGAAATGGAGAACCAGGGTTACGGGTAAGTGCCTACTGGAAACCCTATTAATGCACTGACCTGCTTACTTCAGAGATTCAAAACTTAGCCTGAACACTATTATTGAAAATGTTTGTTTTTATTTTATAATTTAAAAACTGCATTCCAAATCCTGTTCACATTCTGATTTAGTAGCCTTTAGAGTACTAACCTCATACATTCTTTTGCCAAAATCAGTTCTTCTCTGCAGAACCCTTTCCAAAATGTGGGGTCACTGTGATTGTCACTAATGTTAGCATTGAGAAGAAAGTCACAAATGCAAGCGATCAACTCTCAGGATATTTCCTGACCTAACAATACAGACAAAAAATTGAAATCTAATTTATATTTTAAAAAATTAGACTTATGCAAGGTTAATAAGATACAAGGAGATAATTGTAAGTAGTTGTAATTAGATAGCTTAGAGAAGTTATACGAATTTAGACAACCTTTACCTTGAGCTATGGTGAGTTTTTCCCAAGATAACAGTGTCCAAGATAATTTTAAGAGGCATTGGTTTACTAAAAGGCAAAGTAGGGAGATATATTTTGCATTTGGTTTCTTTCTCTCTGTTTTCCATTTTTGGGGGCATAAGTGGGGGGTGAGGATAATGGAAGTGTCATTGATGAGAGAGATGGAGCAACTATGGATAAGCACCAATTAACTTTCTTTTAAATAATTTAATTATAAAAAGAGCCAATGCTGGGGCCGGCCCGTGGCTCACTCGGGAGAGTGCGGTGCTGATAACACCAAGGCCCTGGGTTCGGATCCCATATACAGATGGCCGGTTCGCTCACTGGCTGAGCGTGGTGCTGACAACACCAAGTCAAGGGTTAAGATCCCCTTACCGGTCATCTTAAAAAAAAAAAAAAAAAAAGAGCCAATGCTACTTTAATAGCTTCATGAAGTGTGGCTCTGCATTTCTGCAAGTTCCATGTCTAGAAGACAGCTTCTTGATGTACCAGGGCCTTAATCTTTGCCTCTTCTCTATAATGGAGAAAATATAGAAACTCTGAAAATCTGATAGAGTGATCATAACCAAATCAAATTGTATTAACCCATGTAAATTTAGTATAGCAAGGTATAATTTTATGAGATGCAGTATTTACACAGTATTTACATTCCTTGAACTCAGAATCATGTCTAGCTGTATAAATTTCCACAGTTACCAAATGTATATAAAATGCCTTTAATTATCTAAAATTTATATTAATATTCTGAGGCCATTTTGTATTTGAATTTACAACACTCTAACTCTTTAAATCCTCTGCAGAGCTATTCAGGGCAAATTAAATCATGCCTATTATACTGTCAAATCCCCTTAGAAATAAAGTAGAAGTAGGAATAAATGAACCCTGCTACTGTCTATACATGACAGGGCAAAAAATAAAAGAAGGTAAGTGATATAGCAAAAAAGTTAATCTTACTGTTCTGCTACAAAATAGGGTGAACCAGGATCTCCTGGAGAAGAAGGTCTCCAAGGAAAAGATGGATTAAAGGTAAATTATATTTTTAACATTATGTATAAAATACATGTTTTATGAAATCTTTGACATATATATGCTAAACAAAAACATGCCTATGTGTGGAAAAATTATTTCACTGTATTCCTTTTTTAAAAAAAATTTATTGGATTACAGGGGACCCCAGGAGAAAGGGGACTTCTTGGAGAGGATGGAGAAAAAGGAGAAATGGGCTTACCAGGAACTACAGGGCCCTTGGGTAGACCGGGTCAGATGGGCCTTCCTGTGAGTACTACTGGATTCATGTTCAAATACTCAGTGAACTCAGTGCCTGCATGTGTACATGCACATACATACACTCTGACCCCCTTATGTATCCAGTGGGGTAATTAGAGGTGTGGAGCTGTGGCTTGAGAGAAGGACTCAAATCAGGGATTGATGATCAGCCCTCCTATGATCCAAAGAGGAAAGACACTTTTTCACATGTCTTTTTGCTACTTTTCCTTAAGCCATAGAACTTCTGTCGTAAAGCATTTGCAGGGGAACGTTTTGTGTTGTCTCAAACTTAGTTTGCTTGAATATTTTGCATCTTTATTCATGGAACTGAAAGTCTTATTGTGGAGTAATATCCTAGTTTCAGGATAAAATAAGTTCTTCACAAGCATAAATAGGCAATTAATATCTGATCCTAAATTGTAGTATTACTTAAAGGGAAATTCTAAATGTCATATCGAACAAATCCTCTCAACTCAAAGCAAACGAAAGATGTGAATAAATAATGAGAGCAGCTTCTTTCTTTCTTAAACATTTAATTTATGATATTTGTTATATTCTTCCACATAAAGCCTCTCTGGTCATTTCACTGTTTTACTATTCTATTCCCTCTTTCTTTTTGTAAATCCTTAAACATGAGTTCTCCCCAAGATTATTCTGTCTTTACTTGTCTACGTTTTTTTTTTTTTTTTTTTTTTTTTTCTCCTTAGGAGATACTCTTCTATCTTGGGAGTCATCCCTTATGTCTCTACCAGAAAATGATTTCTCTTTCCTCGGGACTCTGATGGTCTTATTCAGCCTTTTAAAGATTGCTAATACTTTTAAGCATGTGGGTCTCTTCCCCCAGAGAGATCATAGCTGTTCAAAAGCAGATGCTTTTTATTTACTCCTTTCCACAAACCGCATTGCTTCTGTGCTCCGCTATTTCCACATGGGGGTTCAGTAAAGACTGAAGAACTAATCATGAGTAAACTGATCATGCAGGCGGTCTAGGAGACAAAGTAGTGATTTACACAGTTTGTAATATTTGTGCTTTTTTTCCTGTACTTCTCATCCTCTAGCTTCTAACCTCTAATGTCCTATCTATGATCTAATAATGTCCTATCTATGATAGCCTCTCCCTCAATCAGCTCAGTTAGGTTTGCAAGACTAAGAGGAAAGCTCTGTCTAGAAGAATACAACTATTATGAATGAAACACAAACTGGCCGTCTCACCATTCACATTTAACCATGACTATAATGGTTTTAACAGCAATTAAAATAATGTTATAATACATTTCCCCCCCCCAAATAATAGATAATTGTACCAACATATTTCAAAATGACATTTGAAGAATGAGGATGAATCAGAAGTTTCACCTTTTTCTGCACTGGCAAACAGTCTTTTTCCCCTCCAGTTTTACAGTACAGTAGTCCACCTTTCTCCACAGTTTCACTTTTTGCTGTTTCAGTTACCCACAATCAACTGAGATCCAAAAATATTACATAGAAAATTCTAGAAATAATTCAGAAGGTTTCAATTGCATGCCATTCTGAGCAGTGTGATGAAATCTTACAAGAATCACCCCTTTGTCCAGCGTGTCCATGCTGTATATGCTACCCGCTCATTAGCCACTTAATAGCCGTCTGGGTTATCATATCAACTGTAAAGATATTGCAGTGTTTGTGTTCAAGTAGCCCTTATTTTACTTAATAATGGCCCTGAAGGGCAAGAGTCATGATGCTGGAATGTTGTTACAATTGTTCTATTTTATCATTAGTTATTGTTAATTTCTTACTGTGCCTAATTTTTAAATTAAACTTTATCATAGGTATTATGTATAGGAAGAAAAACATCATATATGTAAGGTTTGGTACTATCCGCTGTTTCAGGCATCCACTGGGGTCCTGGAACACATTCCCTGCAGATAAGGGGGTATAACTATAGTGGTAAAGTGCTCGTTTCTCCTCTGTCCTTCCCTCTCAGTCCTGAAAAACTGTGATGGGTGTTTCGTCACAGCAAATACTAAGTATTAGAGAATCCTATCTTAAACGTCATCAGTTTAGACACAGAGCAGTATAATTTCAGTTATATATTCTCATAGAATCCTCTTAATAACCTGTAAATGTTATTATTCCTCATTTTACAACTGAAAAAAAAACTCAGAGAAAGCTGAGAAGAGGCCTATGCAAGATAACATAGCAGGTGGCAGAGTTGGCACCAATTCCTTTCTTTTCTGACTTCTGTGTCTCTAGGCCTCAATTATCCATGAGGTAACCAGCTTTGGTCCCATATTTTGTCTTTCTAGGATTCTTGATATTTTTCGTCTCTTTTAGAGGACTCATCCCTCTTTCATTAGCATAAGGCCTGGACCCACAGAGGAGCCAAGTAACAAATGCTCATAAAGTGTAATTATCTTCCTACGAATTCTTGCCAAATTTACCTTTTTTTATGAAAATCCATTGACAACTATTTATACTTTACCATAGATTTTAAAAATCTACTAGCCTAGTTCTCTTGCAGAACTGAAAGAGTTGGTGCAGAGGGAGAATACAGCACTGAGAAACAGGAAGACCCAGAGAGGGTTGATGCAGCAAGGCAGCTGGTGATGGGCAGAGCAGAGATGAAAAAGGGGCTCAAAACAAAGCATGGAAAAATGATAAACAGATTTCATCTGCTTCATAATTTTTCCCAGGAATAATCCTGCCTGGTACACATCTTTGGTGCCTTTTTTTAGTAATAGCACATGTGTGTTTCTTTTTCATTTTTTTTGTTGTTCTCCTTGGAATCTTAAATGCCTTTCAGCTTATAAACTCAATAAAAATACCACGGCATATTTTTTCGAAAGAACTTTATGATCCCAGGAACTATTGCTTAATCAGACAGGCTGATGTTGGATTTACTTTTGCACTTTTAAAATTCTTCCTTAGGAAATGTCACAAAGACACTACCTTGGATTCTTACAAAATAAATAAGAAAGAGAGTGAGAGAGAGAAATAAAACTTTTTTTTTTCCAAAAGAAGAGAAGCTCTATTACTTCCTAGAAGATTGGGGAATAAGATCTGGACTGAAAAATAAGGCAAGGCATCAATAACAGATTCCAAATTTAAGATATAGACTTCTTTGAACAGGAAAAAAATGTATATTTTATTCTTGAATTCTGTGCTAAAATGTTGCATTGCCTAAATGCATAGCTCTGTATGAGAAAAGAGTTGGGAAGCATCCGAAAAGAACCATCTGCCTGACTTTGGGCTGTCATTCATTTCTAAAAAATCTACCACTGTTGTGTCTAAGATCTAAATAGATGTGGACATGTTAAGTCAAAGTTGAATGTATTAAAATGAAATTATCCTGTTTTATTTCTTTAGGACAAAATTCTGTTGGCTTTATTGAAGTATGGTTTTTCTGGTCTGATTAAAGTGGTATGATATTAGGTAGAGGTGAATATCTTAAGAGAAGGTGAAATGAAATAAAGTACATTCTCTAAGAAGTTTTTAAAATATTACCTTAAAAATGAAGACATAAAGATGACATAAAAATATCAATAGTTAGATGAATGATGAGATAGATATACATGGCTCTTGTTCCTGAAACAGTTTCCTTGGGAAACCTGAAAAACAATCAGTTGGGAATTTGGGGGTCAGAGGCATTAAGAAGTAAAGGATTATCTAACTCTTTATCATATAGGGCTTGTTTGTTCTGAACTGTTTCATTATAAGGCAACACAGAAATAGAAAGCCCTGCACTGACCACTATGTAACCATTGTTCAAACCCCTGCTCTCCCACTAAAGAGCTGTACATTATTGGGTGAGTCATTCTTTAGTTTCTCAGTTCACCCATTACACATAATAAAGGGGTCAGAGCTATGCAGAACCTCCCAACATGGTCATGTCAGGAGGGATTCTGAATTAGCAGGGCTCAGTTCCTTCTATTCTTACTTTGGTCAGAAGAAATTCTCGTATGACTATTTAACATATTAGATTCTATAAAGGTTTTCTTTGGAAGAAAATGTTCTGCTTTGGAAGAATCATTAACTTGAACTTTGTAAGTTGTAATGCTATAAAATGTATTTGTCTGTACATTAACTCAGCAGAGTTTTTGAGTGCCTTCTATGAGCCAAGAACTCTGCTAAGCATTGGGGATACAGTGCAGAACAAGACTAGCAAGGTCACTGATCTCTGACCTTATAGTCAAATAGATTAAATATCACTGCAGATTGTGATAATATGATAATGGAAATAAATGGGGTGATGAAAGAGAATAACTGATTAAGGGTAGGAAAGCCAACTAGTTAAGGGTGGGGAAGACTGTTTCAGCTAGGGTAGTGAGGGAAGTCTTCTCTGAATAGGGGGTGATTAAGTTGAGACCTGAAAGATAAAAAGACCATTTCATGCAAAGAACTGTGAGAAGATCCTTCAAGATAGAAGGAGCAACAAGAGCAAGATGTAGAGAGGAGAACGGCCTAAGTATTTTTAGAAAACTAAACTATCTGCAGTATAATGAATAGTGAAAAGTTATTTGAGATGAACTTGGAGAGGTAGGTAGGAAGCAGATCACCAAGGACCTTTTAAGCCATAGTGAGAAGCTTGGGTTTTATCCCACGTGTGGTGAGAAAATATTAAAAGGTTTTAAGCAGAAGAGGAACATAGCCTCTGATAGGATCACTCTATAATTTCCAAACATTGTTTAACAATACCTAGTGTTATGGGCTATCTGATGGATGAAATAAATTACAGGAAAAGCACAAATTAAATTTGAAATAGAAAAGCATGTGATGTGCCAAGACAATTCAATGAGGGGAAAAATGGTCTTTTCAACAAATGGTGCTAGAACAACTGGATACGTGCAAAAGAATAGTTGGACCCTTATAATATACACAAAAATGAACTCAATATGCGTCGTAGAACTAAATGTAAGAGCTAAAACTATGAAAATCTTAAAATAAATCGAGTAAATCTTCATGACTTCGGGTTAGGCAAAGCCTTCTTAGATAACACCAAAAGCGCAGGCAACCAAAAAAAAATTAGATTT